TGACAGATCAAATTGATGTTAACGTTGTACCCACAAGACTTAACAGCACGTTTGCTTTCTCACCACGCGGTGCAAACGTTACTATCGGTACTGCAGTAATTTCCTACCTTCAGCCGTTTTATCCATTGATAAAGACTAATACTATTTAACTTCACTAAAATTGTAATTTCAGTCTAGATGACGTTGATGTGATATTAAATGATTAATTTAATTTTACATTTCATTTAGCTTATCATTAGAGTCGTCTAGATTTGCGTTGCAACCACAATATGGCTACATAACATTATTCTTAATAAATGTATGCTAGAGTAGTGTAATCAGGGCCACAAATTATTTATTAGTTACAAATCATAATTAATTGGCAACAATCACTTTCCATCTCACCCCACCCACTCTACCATCGTCGACACCACCTCAAATCCACCACCCCGTAAAATCGTACTCTTTCAGAAGATCTGCATCAACTACATTTGACTACGCTGTCTTTGTCGTTGACCACGATTGCTTTGACGAGATTCTTTTTGCTTTGGTTGCTAATGGAGAAACCTCCACCGTCAAGCCCTCCGCCATCGGCTATTATTTTGCCATCTACGGTGAAGACATAATAGCTACTTCGTCACACCTCCCTCTTTTCTCCTTCCTTAGAAGCGCCTTCAAAGTCGTCGACAACCTAGTATGTATTTACACATTTTCATTGGTTGTGGCGGCGAAGAGCGTGTGAAGGTGGAGAGTCATAGGTGTGAATTTGAGAATGGAGAGAAATGGGTTAAATGATAGGTGTTGTGGTGTGGGATGGGATGGGATAGGATGCAGTACGATGGGGTGGGGTGCAGTATATACCTAAGTTTTGAAAATAATAAGCTTAAATTCAGATTTTTGAAATGAAAAGTTAGAATGAATGGAATGAGTATATTTTCCTTATATTTTAATCCTTGTTTTGTCCTGCTTTTTGAACAATCTCGACAGCGTAGGTGTTAAGAGATAAATCTTCTCTAACGAACAGTTTGATCCATTTAAGACTCAAAAAATGAGGATGCAGATTTCAATATTGGTTTGTTTAAAAGAGTCACTATAATGTGAGATATGTTAAGGGATAAATTTCATATCGAATAAAAATAAAAATATAAACCAATAAATAAAGATTTGGATCACCCCTCTTAATAAAGTTAACTTTATGGAACCCCAAGTTTTAATAATAAATACAGAAAAGGCGGCCCAACTCAATCCATCGTTGTTGCCATCCTTGAGTATGGCTTCATAT